GATGCTCAACCACTGCATCACACTGGCCAGGCCATAATATAGTCTTCATGTAGTTAGCACATGACCTGGCAGGAAGTGGATGCGCATGAATGTTATTTGGGGCGGGAGCGGGTGGGGGGGGGAGCGGGGGGGGGTGGTTTTAATTGTTCCTTGACCCTCTCTCCTACTTGTCTGCAAAGCGTCTTTGACATTCCACCTCATCCCAACCATCAGTCAGGCCAGAGTGAGATATACTAAACATTTAAAGTTGGCTTTTTATTACACAAAATATTTCACGAATACACTTCTGTTTAAAAAATGTATTCAAGAAATACCTATGTATATTGGATCGGAGACCTAAAACTATAAAAACCTAAAGCTATAAACCTTCTGGAAAATATAGGAGAAAATCTTTGTGATCTTGGATTAGGTAGAGATTTCTTAGATATGACAAGAAAAGCACGATTCATAATATTAAAAATTGATAAATTGGACTTCATCAAAATCTAAAGCTTTTGCTCGTCGAAAGACGCCAGTAAGAAGATTAAAAGATGAGACACACTGGAGAAACTATTTGTAACTCATATATCTGATAAAGGATTTGTATTCGAAACATAAAGAACTCTCAAAACTCAATAATAAGAAGACAAAAACCAAGTGAACAGAAATGGACAAAAGATTAAAGGGGTCTCTAGCCGAGGGCCCCTGTGATGGAGCTGTTCTGTGTCTTCACTCTGGTGGTGCTCACAGGAATCTGCGCGCGATACAACTGCAGAACTAAATACACATACAAAGGGAAGCATGTCAATCAGGTGAAAGCTGAATTTCATGTGAAATCTTCTTGTAATATTGTACTATATTTATGCAAGATGCTTCCATTAGGGAAAGTGGGTAAAGGATATAAAGGGTTTCTCTATTATTTCTCACGACTTCATGTGAACTACAATTATCTAAAACTAATATTTTAATGAGCAAAGAATGAATGACACCTTGCCAGAGAAGATAGATGGATGACATATAAACACCTACAAAGATGATCAATATTTTTAGTCACTCGGAAAATACAAATTAAAGCCTTGGCCAGTGTGGCTCAATTGCCTGGGCTTCATCCCATGCACTGAAAGGCTGCCAGATAGACAGAGAAACAGCGATCAGACTATCACTCCCCAGAGGGAAAGTAGGGGAGGGCGGGGGTAAGGGGAAGAGATCAACTAAAGGACTTGTATGCATGCATAAGCCAAACCAATGGACATGGACAACAGGGGCATGAGAGCATGAGGGAGGCGGGGGGAGTAGGGGCTCATGGGGGGATGAGGACACATTTGTAATACCTTAACCAATAAAGAAATTAAAGATTTAAAAAAAAGAAAAGAAAGAAAGGCTACCAGATCAATTCCTAGTCAGGGCACATGCCCAGGTTGCAGGCTCAGTCCCCAGTAGGGGGCGTGCAGGAGGCAGCCAATCGATGTTTCACTCTGTCTCCCTCTCCCTTCCTCTCTCTCTCTAAAAGTCAATAAAAAATAAAAATTAAAAATTAAGAAAGAAAATACAAATTAAAACCACAGTGAGATACTACACACATCTATTAGAATTGCTGAAAACGACTGACCACATCAGCCATTAGAGAGGACATGGGGGACCTGGGGCCTCCACGCTGCCGATACACCTCTTGGGAAAACATTTGAATAGTTTCTTATTAAATTAAGTAAATACCTACTGGGTGACGCAATCATCCCACTACTGTTTGCCTAACAGAACTGAAAGCACAGATTCATATAAACACATGTATACAACTGTTCAAAGCAGCTTTATTTGTACTAACCAAAAACTACAAACAACTTAGATGTAAATGGATAAGCAAATTGTGGTATATCCATACACTACTACTAAGCAACAAAAATGAATGAGCATGAATGAATCTCAAAATAATTGTTCTGCGTTAAGAAAACAAAAGTAGGCTGAGAAAGCTACAATAAAGAGTACGCACTGTATATACATTATGTATGTATATACTGTGTATATACTGTATTTCATTTATATAAAATTCTAGAACATGCAAACTATAGAATAAAACAGATAACCAGTTACCTGGACACTGAGTGGAAGATTGGGGAGGGATTACAAAGGGCAAAAGAAAACTTCTAGGGTTGATTAAGTATATAATTGTCTTGATTGTGGCAATAGTTCATGAGTAAAAGAGAGAGAAACTTATGAAGTCATACACTTCAAATATATACACTTTGTGTATGTCAATTATCTATAATAATAAAAAATATGCTAATTAGACCAGACAGCCGAATGACCCTTTAGACGTCATCCCCAACGAAGCTGCCACAGCAGGGGCCAAGGCGGAGGGAGTTAGGGGCAATCAGGCAGGCATGCAGAGTGGTTAGGGCCAATCAGGCAGGCAGGCAGGCGAGCGGTTAGGAGCCAGTGGTCCTGGATTGCAAGAGGGATGTCCGACTGCGAGAGGGTGCAGGCCGGGCTGGGGACCCCTTCCCCCACCCCATGCACAATTTCATGCACTGGGCCTCTTAGTACTTCAATAAGACTGCTTAAGGGGGGAAAAAATCAAATACCTATGTGAAGATAAAAGTGAAATCCTAATTTCACATTGTTCTCCTTCCCCTCACTCCTCTTCACAGTGGTAACAGTAGTAATTTGGTATTTATCCTTTTTTTTCTCTTTCTAATATTTTTTATTGAGGTGCTATTTAAATACAGTGAAATGCACAAAACTATATAATTCAATGTGTTTTGACTAACTCTTACACTGTGTAATGCACACCTCAGCATGACAGGGAACATTCTGATTTCTTTCATCGTACATTAGTTGTGAGTTTTAGAACTTCATCTGAGAGAAAGCACACAGTATTGTGTTTGAAATTTTCCGCAGCATAATTTCCTCTCATTTTAAATTCATTTCCAGATACACATGTACTTAGGCGCAGAATGTTTGCTTTCTTACAAGAGGTCCTACCTTAACCCCCAGTCTAACTCTTGCTTCCTCTTCCAACAGCATCTAGATATCTCTCAGAACCAAACTTCCCCTGCCGCAGGGCCAGTGCACAGCACTGGTGTTCCATTCATCCTTATATAACACCACTGTTGCTGGATATTTAGGTTATTTTAACTTCCCCTCTTGTAAATAGCACCTCAACGAACATCTTTGGGAAGACAGTTTTTTAAAAGGAATGTCTCATTCTTTTTAAAAAACAGTAGTTTACTGATTTTTAGAGAGAGAGGCACTGAGAGTGAGAGAGAGAGAAGCATGGATGTGAGAGTGCAACATGGATCGGCTGCCTCCAGCACACACCCTATCAGGGATCGAGTCCACAACCCCGGCACATGCCCTTGACCCAGAATCCAACCGGCAACCTCCTGGTGCACAGATGATGCCCAACCAACTGAGCCACACCAGCCAGGGCTGAGCAGACATCTTTGTGCCTGTGTGTGTGCACGCGCGCATGCGCATGTGTGTCTGGAATTGATACCAGCAAAAAGAATTGCTAGGTCAGTTAATAATCACTCAATAGTAAATTAATATTATAATTTCCTCTCCCGCTGGTCATTGTCCTTCCAATTCTTTAGCAATTCTTCTGCACAGCAAAATGTTCTCTCCAATCATTAGAGGATTGCAAAACAAGCCTAGGGAGTTTGGAGAGCATGCGGGGCGTCCTAAGAGGGTGGGGAGTCCAGCTGATTAACTGATGATGTCTCTCCTTCGAAGCTAGTCTCCCTGATCAGTTTTCCTGGTTTCCTCATGTGGATGCAGTGGGCTGGTTTATTGACCCCCTTCTGCAAACTTCTGTAGAAGAAGGAAACCTGACACCCAGTGAATAATTGTGTGTGTGTGTAGGGGGGGTAATATCACTCCCTCCTGTGTGAGCGCGGAATTTTAGCCCCCTCTCACTTCGGGTGGCTATGCGGTTTCCACGGCTCTGGTCCGTCTCGGGTTCTGGAGGCAGACTGGACGTGGCTGCATCACAGTGAAGTGCCCTTGTGAGTAACAATGCAGCCATTACAACAGTGCGGCTCCTGGGGGGCTTGTTGAGCCTCAGTTTCCTCGTTTGTATAAAGAAACCAAACAGCTCCTCTCTTTTGGAGTTGTAGCAAGGATTCCAGAAGGTGATACAGGCAAACTCTTCACACAGTGCCTGCCTGGCAGGAAGTAAGAACGCAATAAATCGTCACTTGTGTGATTATCATCAAAATACCAGGCAGATAGTATGGCTCAGAGGGCTTGAGACACAACTAAATTCACCCAGCAGCAGAGCTGGAATCGGAACTCGGGCCCCTTTCCCCAGGCAGTAAGGGGAACTGGAGATGGGGAGGAGGCGGTGAGGAAACCTCCCAAGCGGCCCAAGCCGTGGGCCTGGAGGGGAGATTCCAGGTGTGGGGCGGGGAGGTAAGGTGACCCTTGCCCGGCGACCGCGCCCGTGAGGAGCACATTCCCAGGCCTCCTGCCGGAGGTCCGCAGGTGACTGGCGGGGCCCCGAGTAGCGCCGGGAGCCGGGTTTGCCGTCTCCATGGCGACCGCCCGCGCGGCGCCAGCCTGACAGCCCGTCCAGGTTTTATGAATGGGTGACGTCACGGGCCTGGCGTCTAACGGTCTGAGCCTCTTGTTCAGACGCTGACACAGACCAGCCCGGGAAGCCCGGCGGGGGGAGGGTGGGAGGAGAGGGGGACTCGAGCTCTGCAGCTGCCGCGCTGTGGGAGAACCTGATCCGAAATCTTTTTTAGAGGGGAAACCTCCGGAAAAAAGGGAGAAAAATTTAAAAATCACTAGTTGATGCAGATTTAGGTAATTTTTGCAAGGGGCTGCAAATTCAGAGTAGAATGAGGAGATGCAGCCCCACTCTGGAAGCCATCTATCCAGCTCAGGTCTCAGAGGCCCAGCCCCCAGTCCTAGGGGAAGACTTTCCCAAATTAAGTGCTCCCACCCCGAGCGGCCTGGGTAAGTCCCCCTGGTCCCAGGACATTAACACTCCCTGGCAATTGGGAAAGAGAGACGAGCCCCAGTTCAGAGTGTGAAAGGAGGGCCCGCTTTAATTTCGGACCAAATATTCGCGAGATCAGGGTCCCAGAAGTCGTCTTCCAACAGGATCCAGAAGCCCAGGCTCTCTGGCCGACCCAGAGCCAGCCGCTTCTTCATCCGGGCTCAGTTTCTCTCATCTGTAAAATGGAGCTGGAGAGGTGAGAAAACGGATTCTTGGTTTCTTTGTTATCGGCAATATCGATTTAGCCTCCTTGCCTCCTCCCCGAGGTCCCCAGGTAGCCACCCTGTCCCGTGCCTTCCCACTCTCTCTTTGAGATTCGGGGTCCCCTTTCCACGCCCTCCAGGGTACAATAGTAGAGCGGGAGGCGGGGCCCAGAGGCGCTCGAGGCCACACCTCCAGGCCTCTCATTGGCTGCTTTTGAACGTCTGGGCCCGCCCCTCGGGGCGGGGACGCGGCGTCTTTATAATGATCCGGCCGCGGGGTGCGGAGCGTGCCTTCTACAACCGTCTCTGCCGCGCGGAGGTCTCCTCTTGCACGCCCAGCTCCCGCCTCCTCGCTCACCCCGACGCCAGAATCATGAAGGTCGCCAGTGGCAACGCCGCGGCCGCCGCGGGCCCCAGCTGCGCGCTCAAGGCCGGCAAGGCGGCGGGCGAGGTGGTGCGCTGCCTGTCGGAGCAGAGCGTGGCCATCTCCCGCTGCGCCGGCGGCCCCGGCGCGCGCCTGCCCGCCCTGCTGGACGAGCAGCAGGTCAACGTGCTGCTGTACGACATGAACGGCTGCTACTCGCGCCTCAAGGAGCTGGTGCCCACCCTGCCCCAGAACCGCAAGGTGAGCAGGGTGGAGATCCTCCAGCACGTCATCGACTACATCTGGGACCTGGAGTTAGAACTGAACTCGGAATCTCAAGTCGGGACCCCCGGGGCCCGGGGGCTGCCCGCTCGGGCTCCGCTCAGCACCCTCAACGGCGAGATCAGCGCCCTGGCTGCCGAGGTGAGGTCCGAGTTTGGAACACCAGATCGTTCTCTTCCTACAGATGGGGAAACTGAGTCCCGGCGAGGGAGGGGGAACTGGACCCTCCGCCGACCCTATCCTTTGGGGTCCCTGGCTGTGTCGGGGCTCCCAAGGACATGGCAAGAAGCGCTCCTTCTCGTGTCTGCTGGGGAGGGGGCGGCTTGCAGCCTCGTCCCCTCCAGCCCGCCCGCCCGTCTCACCTCTTCTCTCTTCGATTCACAGGCGGCGTGTGTCCCGGCGGACGACCGCATCTTGTGTCGCTGAAGCGCGTGCTCCAGACCCCGCCGACCCCAGCCCTCCAGGGGCGAGAGGAACGAGCGCTCTCTGGCCCTCCCGAGCGCCTGCCGCAGCTGGGGAGGAACAAGACGGATCAGCGGCCTTTGGGCGACTGTGGATCCAGCCCAGGGCTGGGGGACTGACGGGACAGGCCGACCTTCCCTCCACACCTATCAGCCACCAGAGACTTGGGGGAGTTTCCCCCCCGTGTGTTTCTATTTTTTGAAAAGCAGACATTTTAAAAAATGGTCACGTTTGGTGCTTCTCAGATTTCTGAGGAAATTATTGCTTTGTATTGTATATTACAATGATCACCGACTGAGAATATTGTTTTACAATAGTTCTGTGGGGTTGTTTTTTTTTTTTTTCTGTTGTTATTAAACAAATACTTTAGATGATGGTAAAGTTGCAGTGTTTTTGGATTGAGGGGAGGGCCCTGGGTGGGGGGGTGGCCCCTGACCCTCTGTGCAGCTGGCGCTGGGGGGGGGGGGCTGGAAGGCCACATCTGGACTGTCCCTTTCACCGACCTGAACTGTGTTTCCGGTGTCTTTTAAAGTGTTCTTTCCCCCATCACCGGTCATTTTCCTGTTCCCTATTGTCACACAGTTAAATACTCCAGGGTTTCTCAAAGCGGTCATGGAGGCAGCTGGGGAGGCTTTTATAATGCAGATCAACCTGCCGAGGCCCCTCGGGGTTGAGAGGTATTTGAGTTGGAGAATCAGGTCACTGGGCCCACCTGCACACTTGCCAAGATGGAGGAAGTGAGATCCAGAGGAAAGGGACTTACCCAGAGCCCCAGCTTGTCTGAGGCAGGACTTCCATTGCTCCATTCCCCGGTAGGAGGTGCCTCCCCAATGGGCCGCCTAACCTTGGGTCCCAGCAGGCTGCCCGGGGGCTCTAGGCTTGTCCAAGTGGGTGAGCAGGTTGGCAGGGCCAGCCTCGGCACAGCTGCAGGGCCACCTGCTCTGGGTCCGGAGCCGGCCCCCTCACCCTGGCTTGGCTATGCCAGCCGTTCACAGGAACCTCCTCTCTCCCCCCGAGGGCTCCTGTGTGGGCTCTGAGGAGTGGGTGAGTCAGTCCCCAGCTCCTGAGCAGGAAAAAGGTGTCATTGGCAAGGGCCTATCTGCCTGGACACGTGTGTGGAGTTGTAGTCATGGGGGAGTGCATAAGAGTGAGCCTGTGTGTGTGACATGCATGAACTGGTAGCTCCCCCGTGGGGCTGGGTCCTCTGTTGGTGTCCAGGCCTGGGGTGTATGCAGAAGGGCAAATATGTGCACATGTGTTCTGCAGATAAGTGTGCAACCTCCAGCTGTTTGGGCTTGTGTGTTCTGCCTAAATGCATTGTGGGCATCTCTGCATGGGGCTGGCTTGATGGATGAGATGGTGTGTCTGGGGGCTGCAGAACCACACGGGGTTCCTAAGTGTGTAATTGTTCTGTAGATTGGCTGGCATTTCTGGGTCTCTGCTGGTCTGGGGTGGAGGTGGGGGCTGCTGTATCCAGGCAAACCCTTCCTGAAAAGTTCAAGTGCCAACTTTCCTGGCAATTGTTTGGCCCTGGGGACACCAACTCCATGTACCCTACCAGGTCAGCTCCCATGCATTACACAGGGAGAAACCGAGTCCCCAAAAGGGCAAAACGCTTGTCCCAGAGAAGCTCAAGACTGTTAATAGGCTGTGTTAGTAAATAAAAATAGAATAAAAGACATAGCACCTACTGCCATGAGCCTGCCTCTGAGCTCAGCCCTTTACATAGAGGATTTCTTGTGGGGCTAACAGCAGGATTCTGATCCTAGGTTTACAACAGAAACAGAGGCTCAGCGGCGATGAGCAGCAAATAAATAAAAGCTTATCGTCTGGTGGGCACTGACTTTACGGCAGGTACCAGCCCTTGTCGAACCACCACGTTGTACACCTGAAACTAATATTGTATCAACTGTAATTGAAACATTAAAAAAGCCAGGCACCACCCCTTCCCCAAGCACCGCAGGAACTTTATCAAAGGACACAATAATTGGAGGTAAATTAAGTCCTTCGCTGCTTCCCATCCACTCCCCACCCCGCTGCTGTTTTATAGCATTGACTTCATAAACTTGTAGAGAAAAAATGAAGTAGAGCACTTAGCCCGTAGTGTTTGCCAGTTATAAATTGTTAATTGTCGCCTGGTGTCCTTGGAGTGTCCTCAGAGGTGCACGTGTGCCCCCACTCCCTCCCGGGTGTGCCCCCCCCCCCCCGCAAGCCCACCCACCGGGGCGGGGGCGTGTCCCCCGCACGCACTCCTACCCGGCCGGGCCTTTTCCAGGGGAGGACGCGGCTGCGGCGGCCCCCCCCCCCCCGCCCCCACCGCTCCGGCACACTCTGGCTTCCACGTTTCCCTCTTTTCCCCTTTGGCCCGGGCCCAGCCCATCTGGAGGCCGGCTCCGCGGCGGCCTGGGAGCGTTTCCATCAGCTGGGCCCGAGGAATGCGGAGCTATTTAACCTGAGCATCCCCAGGTGTACGGAGGCGCCTGGCTGTCTGGGGCCCGCCGCCTTTGGCACGGCCACGCTAGACAAACAGCGCCGCCCCCGCCCTGCCCCTCCGCCCGCAGCTGCAGCCCGGCCTGGGAACGGGCGGGCGCCGGCGGCTTGCATAAGAGGCTCCCGGCTTCGCGGGGGGAGGGTGCAGGGGGACAGGCCTCCGGGGTGTGTGTGGCTGTGTGTGTGTGTGTGTGTGTGTGTGTGTGTGTGTGTGTGTGTGTGTGTGTGTGACTGTGTGTGTGTGTGTGTGAGAGAGAGAGAGAGAGAGAGAGAGAGAGAGAGAATACTCCTCTCAGCCCCGGCTTGGGAAATCATTAACTCCTTAATCCCTCCCGATGGGCGATGGGCGAGGAGCCGGGAGGTGGCCCGCGAAGAAACACCCAGACAATTTCTTGGACATTGGACTTTGCCTCTAGGGCAGTGGGCCCAAGACCTGAAGTTTTTTCTTCTTTTGTTTTAACAAACACAGAGCACTTAGGATGTGCCAGGTACTATATACTAAGGTCTTTTTACAAAATATATATTTTTATTGATTTCAGAGAGGGGGAGAGAGAGAGAGAGAGAGAGAGAGAGAGAGAGAGAGACATCAATGATGAGAGAGAATCATGGCTGCCTCCTACAGGCCCCTCCCGGGGATGGAGCCCGAAACCGGGCTTGTGCCCTTGACTGGAATCGAACCGGACTCTTCTGTCTGCAGCTGACGCTTTATACACTGAGCCAACCCAGCTAGGGCTACTAAGCTCTTTTTAAAAATTGATTTATTTAATCCTCACAGCGGGGGGCGGGGGGGGGAGTGTTGTTATATACTCACTTTAATCACAGGAACAACAGCAGCAACACCGATCATAATAGGCTAGCAGTTCAGTAGGAAGGCGGGTAGACCACCGCCTCTGATGAGCCCTGGATGCTCCTCACTTCCCCTGTACCAGCCTCCGCTCTCTCACCTGGAAAATGGGCTCAGACCCTCCCCTCAGCCTCCAGGACCCATTGAACCGCTGTGTAGTAGAAGTTCGGCTCTGGGATGGACACTTGGTAGATGCTGGTGTGAAATGGTTTGAGCCTTTTCGAAGGGGGTTTTATCTTATCAGCCCTGTCAGGTGTGTGGACCCATTGTTGTTCCTACTTTCAGATGAAAAAGGGAGACAGCAGCAGAGAGGTGAAGTGACCCACCCAAGGCCATGCTGGGGCCCTCACTGACTTGGAGGACTTTTCCAGAAATCAGGCTGGTCCCCACCAGGCTCAGGAGAGTCTTCACGTTCCCTCAGGTCACCCAATGTAGCCTTTTCCATCTTACTTCCCAATTGAAATCATACCTAGTCATTATAGATTTTTTTGTTTTAAATGCATCAACTGGGAAAGCCAAGACACAATACATATCACAATTTTTGCAATCCACAGTTTGTTTTGGCATTTCTCAATTTCAAAAAGCTTACTTGCCGAAACTGGTTTGGCTCAGTGGATAGAGCATCGGCCTGCGGACTCAAGGGTCCTGGGTTCAATTCCGGTCAAGGGCATGTACCTGGGTTGCGGGCACATCCCCAGTGGGAGATGTGCAGGAGGCAGCTGATCGATGTTTCTCTCTCATCGATATTTCTAACTATCTCTCTCCCTTCCTCTCTATAAAAAATCAATAAAATATTTTTTTAAAAAAAAGCTTACTAGAGTAGCTTTAAGAGATGGGACTGGCCCAGGCTCTCAGTCTCCAAGAGGTCCTGGGCCAGGTCCTGCGTGACCTGGTCTGGGAGGACAGGTCACACAGCTGGGCACAGGTCGTGAATTAGGTAGAGACCAACCCAGCCGTGGGCAAACTACGGCCCGCGGGCCGGATCCGGCCCGTTTGAAATGAATAAAACTAAAAAAAAAAAAGACCGTACCCTTTTATATAATGATGTTTACTTTGAATTTATATTAGTTCACACAAACACTCCATCCATGCTTTTGCTCCGGCCCTCCGGTCCAGTTTAAGAACCCATTGTGTCCCTCGAGTCAAAAAGTTTGCACATCCCTGGACCAACCGAACTGTGGACATGTCTGCTTTTGCCTTAGACCAGTGGTTCTCAACCTTCTGGCCCTTTAATACAGTTCCTCATGTTGTGGTGACCCCCAACCATAAAATTATTTTCGTTGCTACTTCATAACTGTAATGTTGCTACTGTTATGAATCGTAATGTAAATATCTGAGATGCAGGATGGTCTTAGGCGACCCCTGTGAAAGGGTCATTCGACCGCCAAAGGGATGGCGACCCACAGGTTGAGAACCGCTGCCCTAGAGGCTGAGAGACCACCAGGCCCTGACTTCTGGATGCCTAACCCCCATAGGGGTCAAGGGTGTTTCACACACAAGCCCCAACCGTACACTTGCCAATCTGAGTCACCCAGACCTCAAAATTGGCTTAATGGTGGGGGGGTACTCCAGGAGCACCCCACACTTTGCCTCCTGAGACTAAGGCTCAGAGGTAGAGCCTGTCTTCATGCCAGCTATTCTTACTGAGTTCCAGAAACTGCTGGCGAGAGAGGTCCCTGCTGCCCACTGTCACACACAGCAAGCC